AATTTCATAACGTAAATAACACTTTAAGTAACTGATTCTACAAATAAATTCTAAGCTAATACGCGAAATTAGGTAAAATGACCAAAACGCCCCTCGGGGCCCACGTCTCAGAATCGGATAAAATTTATATTTTTAGAGTCCTCATACTCTCACGAGTCTAAATATACCAAAATTATCCAAAATCGATGTAAAATCCCCAATCAAAACTCAAATTTTTGGTTTAAGAACTTTCCCCAAATTTTCATACAAATTTCGAAAGTTAATGAAGAATTCATGTTTAGATTAATGGGTTACAAGAAAAAATGAGTCAAGAATTGTTATCCAATCAATATATCTGAAAATCCCTCAAAACCTCGCTCAAATCCGAGCTCCCAAGCTTAAGTTTTGATAAAAATGGTTAAACCCTCGATTTTGAAATTTTATATTCTGCTGAGATGTTTGTACATCGCGATCGCATAAAATGATGTGCGATCGCGAAGAGGAAAATCTGATGGCTCCTGAACTGGGCTATGCGAACGCGTGATGAAGAACATGAACGCGGAAGAGGAAAAGGGCAGGATTACCCGTTCGCGGACGGGGACAATGCGAACGCGAAGGGGAAATGGTCACAGTACCCCTGGCTCCTAGTTCTACTACGCGGACGCGAATGGAGAGATGCGAACACAAAAGAGGAGGGGGTAGACTTCTACGATCGTGATCTAAAACATGCGATCGTGAAGAACAATTAAATCATCCTCCGAAATTACACTACGCGAACACGGAGGGAAGGGTGCGAACGCGATTAAGGAAACCAGATACCAGCAGTTCTGCAGTTCCAACAAGTTCCAAAATGACCCGTTGAGCATCCGAAACACACCCAAGGCCCCTGGGACCTCAACCAAACCTGTCAACCAATCCTAAAAGATCATTCAAACTTGTTCCAACCTTTGAAACGCTCAAAACAACATCAAAACACCTATTTTCCATCGGATTCAAGCCTAAGAATTCCAAAAACTCTAAAAACATGCTTTCGATCAAAAAGTCTATCAAAACTCGTCTGAATGACCTCAAATTTGGCACACATATCACATTAAACACTACGGAGCTACTCCAACTTTCGGAATTCCATTCCGACCCTTGTATCAAAATCTCACTATCGAACCGGAAACTTCAAAAATTCAACTTTCGGCATTTCAAGCCTAAATTAGCTACAGACCTCCAAAATACAATCCGAACACGCCCCTAAACCCAAAATCACCCAACGGAGCTAATGAAACCATCGAATTTCCATTCCGAGGCCGTCTTCACATTGTTCCGACTACAGTCAACTTTCCAATACTTAAGCTCTTATTTAGGGACTAAGTGTCCCAAAACTTTCCGAAACTTAAAACCGAACATCTCGGCAAATCAAAATAGCAGAAATAAACTTAGGGAAAACAATTAATGGGGGATCAGGGCGTAAATTCTTAAGACGACCGGCCGGGTCGTCACAAAATCAAACTCCGATCAACTCTTTCAACTTAAGCTTTCAACCTTGGGACTAAGTGTTCCAATTCACTCTGAAACCTCCCTGAAACCAATTCAATCACCCCGACCACAAGTGAATATAGATAAGCAATAAATAGGGGAACATGGCTACGATACACAAAATGACCGACCGGATCGTTAAATACAACCCCTTATTAATCATGTTTAAGGGGCATTTATAGGTTGGGGTCGGAGTCTTTTAGTACAAAACTAAGTAAGAAACATTTAACGCACAGAATCGGAAAGGGACCAGGTCTCAGAGCTCGAGAGACTTGGATTTTAGCGCGCCCCAGAGCTCATGGCGCCCACTCTAATGCAAGATGGACCTCGCCTGGAACCAGGCGTTGCCTGGCCTGGTGCCTGGTTCTTGTCCTTGTCCAATTTTTGCCTTTTCGTGCTCATTTTGTGTATTTTTTATATCGTTTTACATCCTTGAGTGCAACCTTCACTCGTTCTTATCTTTCAATGATCCTACACATAAAAATACATAATTAAGCCTAAATGTCGCACATATTATCATTAAAACACCAAATGTAAGGCAAGTAATACAATACAAATATACATTTATAGTCAATTATTACTACCCCACACTTACACTTTGTTCGTCCTCGAGTCAACCAACAATTCACACTATTCTTGAGCACTTTATATTTACACGTTTGAAGCACACTATACCAATGACCATGGTTGATAGCAATAATTAAACTTTAGCATATGCAATCACCTACACTTACCTTTATTTATGCCATTCTTTAAAAATATTCACGATAAAGACATGTTCATAACAATCTGAACCTCAGCAACCAACTCAATGTCACAATGCCCTCATGGCTTGAACGCTTAACATCATAGAGAAATCTAATAATGTTACCTGTCCCTCGTGAGATAATGTGCCCTCACAACAAGAACATGAGAGTAAGTTGAATCCACACATTTGAATCAAATGCTCAAATATATTTTAAGGACTCACCTAGATAAAAGAAAACTGCTCACTCTCACAAAAAATATCACATGCATGCAATTGGTACTATAGGCTTGCCCATAATGTAAATCTCTACTAATATAGACTCGCTCGATCTAAAATCAATTAGGACTTTTCATGATTGTAATATGTGCTAAGGGAGGGGTATGATATATTTAGGAATAGTGACTAACCCTCCTAAACAGTTTAACACATCACATAATTAACCTTAAGCGCATATTATTCAATCCCAACTTCAATTTCATAACTAATATCACCCCAAAGACACTTCCCTCTTCTTTAGGTACTACTTTAATTAATACCCCACTAGCAAGACAATATTTCAATTTATTTATCTACACCTTTTTCAGATTTTTCTTTCTTTTTTCCAATAATATTTTTCTTTTGCAATTTATTTTTTTCTCTTCTATACAATTTTCGTTAGTGGTGTATTATTTTACAAAACAAGTGCACCATTTTGCCTTTTATTGGTTTCATTCAAAAGCCATCCAAATTCTCTCCTTACTTCTTTTAGCACTCAATTCACAATTAAAGTACTTTAAGAGGTAAAAATATCAAAATAATATTAATTAAGAACATAAAAGATATAGTCTCATAATGTGAGTGCCAAATAAAATTCTATAGGCTCAAAAGAGTTTACTAGAGAGAAATTTTATTTGTGATAAGCAATAAAGCTCGAAAAGATCAAAGAAATCCTAATAATTATTTTTCAAACGAGCATCATCTAAAATTTCGTTTTACCTCACATACCGGGCAAGATCTAAACACAAGTACAATGATATGGACTACATTAAGATCTCACTTCACACATGGAACATGATTCGCTAAGGTCGGTCTTATTCCGACCCTCAAACTAATGTAAGTATTCACGTAACCACAAGATATTAAGCATTAAGCACAAAGTGAACTTAAGTCAGGTAAATGAGATATATGCGTCAATAACATGCTATCCAATGAAACAGTGTATCATGGATAATTTTAAAATTTAGGGTAGGTACTACACATGTCAAAGCCTAAATATTCTACTATCAAACAAGTCAAGGACGCCTAGGAATCTCATCTTTATTTTCCCATTTATTTTCTAAATCCTAATCTACTCTAAAAATAAAAATTGCTACTCGGTTCAAACTACATCCCATGAAAAAGAACTGAGGTACAAAGAAAAATCGTGAGGGATTATTACTACCTAAAGGAAACTAAGACATATTTTTGTATTTTTGTATTCTTCAATTATTTTGTGTTTTTGGTTAGGCTTTGATCCCTCAAGAAAACTACCTAGAAGATGCATCATCAGGAAAAGACTAATGTTTTCTAAATTTTTTGTCGATTTTTTTGTATTTTTGCTTTTTTCTCAAATTAAACTAATATTAAATCAATAAAAAAATTACCACTAAAATACTATACTAATATTGTTTTTTCTTCATTAAGCTATGCTAAAATAGAAAAGAAGAAGTTAATCTAAATTACTAAACTAAAATGAAAATAATAAGCTAACAATTAATTTACTATATACATACCACAAAGAATCCTCCACCCCCACACTTAAAGTATGCAATGTCCCAAGTGCATACAACAACAAGAACAATCCAGTGAAATACCACTAGTGGGGTCTAGGGAGGGTAGTGTGTACGCAGACCTTACCCCTACCCCGAAGGAATAGAGAGGCTGTTTCTGAAAGACCCTCGGCTCAAGAGGACAAAAAGGTAAATGGAGACAAAATCAGTAACACCACAGAAATAATAAGAAAAATAGGTAAAATATGTACAATAGGAACTAACATATAATCCAGAAGAAAGATACAAAGCAGAAGTGAAATAGTATCCCTACCAAACTAATCCCGCAAAGTTATGACATAAGGCAAAACTCAACTACCTCCTAACCTATAACCTTAATATTCGACCTCCACATGTTCCTATCAAGTGCCATGTCCTCGGTAATCTGAAGCCTCGCCATATCCTACATGATCACCTCCCCTTAATACTTCTTAGACCGCTCTCTACCTCTTCTCGTGCCCTCCACAACCAGCCGTTCGCACCTCCTTACCGGAGCATCTAGGCTTCTCCTCTGAACATGCCCGAACCATCTGAGTCTCACTTCCCGCATCTTGTCATCAATGGGAGCCACGCACACCTTCTCCCGAATATCATCATTCCTAATCTTATCCATCCTAGTATGCCCGCATATCCACCTCAACATCCTCATTTCTGCTCCCTTCATCTTCTGGATATGCGACTTCTTAATAGGCCAACACTCAGCCCCATACATCATGGCCGGTCTAACCACCGCTTTATAGAACTTACCGTTGAGTATCAGTGGCACTCTCTTATCGCACAATACTCCATATGATAACCTCCACTTCATCCATCCTACCCTAATGCGGTGTGTGACATCCTCGTCGATCTCCCCTCCCCCATGGATAACTGACCCAAGGTACTTGAAGCTGCCTTTATTCGGGATGACCTGTGATTCAAGTCTCACATCCACGCCCATTTCCCCCTGCTCAGCGCTAAACTTACACTCCAGGTATTCCGTCTTTGTCCTGCTAAGCATAAAACCCTTAGATTCAAGAGCCTGTATCCAAACCTCCAGCCTCTCGTTAACACCGGCTCGCGACTCATCAATCAGAACTATGTCATCGGTGAACAACATGCACCATGGCACATCCCCTTGAATGTTGTGTGTTAACGCATCCATCACCAGGGCGAAAAGTAACCAAATGCTCCTCCCTCTTTGGGAAGATAGAGTTTGCAATCACCAACCTAAAAGCCTTAGCAAAGTCCAGTAACGAGGTTCTTCCTCCATTTCTCTCCCTAAAACCGAAGCCTCCATGCACTTCGTCATACCCACTTGCGGTCGCCCCAATATGACCATTGAAATCCCCTCCTATGAATAACTTCTCAGCGGGTGGTACCTGACGTATAATCTTATCTAACCCCTCCCAAAAGCACTGTTTAACCTCCTCATCTAGGCCCGCATGAGGCGCATATGCGCTAACGACATTTAGGGTGCACTGTCCAACCACCAACTTAATAATCATCAATCTATCATTCACTCGTCAAACCTCAATCACAGACTCTCTAAGTTCCCATCCACTAAAATACCCACTCTATTTTTACCTTTCTGGGTTCCTGAGTTCCAAAGTTTATACCCGTCTGCATCCCTCGCACTCGACCCTATCCACCTTGTCTCTTGGACACACGCTATATTGACCCTCCTCTTCCGGAGGATCTTCGCCAACTCTATAGACTTGCCTATCAATGTACCTACATTCCATGACCCAATCCTCAACTGATAAACACCCTTGCCTCCCAACCCACCCCC